GCCTACGGCGACTCGCCGCCACCCCTTGCGTTGTTGGGAGGCGCCTCTGTGGCCAAACGTTTGGCCAGAGCTTGGCCAAGCTATCACACTATGAGTTTCCCCAGCTGCTCAGGAAACCCTTCGGGGAACACATGGAGGAGGATGAGGGGGAGGATCAGAAAAGGGAGGAGGAGGAGGAGGAGGAGGAGGGGGAGGATTAGGAGGAGGAGGTGGAAGAGGAAGAGGAGGCCTCTTGGGAGGCTCTTTCGAGACACTCTTGGGACTGCCTGGCAGCTTCCTGCATGGGACTCTTGGAGGCCTCTTGGGGGTCTTCTTGGGCCTCTTTGGAGTCTGTGGGGGCTTCTGTGAGGCCTCCTTGGCTGTCTCAGGGCGTTCCTGGCCCGCCTGTCGCCGTTGGGGGCCTCTCTGGGGGCCTTTTGGGCCGTCTTGGGTCGCCGGGCAGCCGAAAAGAAGCAAATGCCACACAATTTGTCAAACGCCCACGAGCACATCAATGATGTTGGTCTCCTCGGGCCCTCCTGGAAGACCTCTTGGAGGTCTCTTGGGTCGTCTCAGAGACGTCTTGGGGACCTCCGGGGCCGCCTGGGGCAATCTTGATTAGGCCGTCTGGAATGCATCGTGTAGCCATCTTGGGCTCCGTTGGGGCCATGTTCAGGGTGGCTGGCGCGATCAGCCAGAGCTCCATGGGACCTGTTTTAAATATCCAATACTACCCAACATTTGACAGTTGGCACGCCGTGCACCCCATTGGCACGACCATCGGGGGTGGCGGATCGAAGACGCCTACGGCGAATCACCGCCTTCTGGAAGAGTCTATGCGGCCAAACGTTGCGGCTTGGCCAAGCTATCGGACTACGTAGTGCCCGCGCCTTTGTGGAAACCCTCCGGGGAAGACGTGGAGGGAGAAAGAAGAAGACGAGGAAGAGAGAGAGGAAAATGGAGTAGGAGGAGGAGGAGGCCTCGTGGGGCACTCTTGGGGTCTCGTAGGAGCTTCCTGGGGGCCTCATGGAGGCACTCTTGGGGGGCTCCTTGGGTCTCTTGGGAGCCGTTGGAGGCTCCTTGGGAGGCTGAGAAGCTCTTTGGCCCCTGAGGGCGTTCCTGGCCCGTCTGACGCCGTCGGCAACCGTCTTGGGTGCCTTTCTGGGCCGATTCGGGGCCCTCTTGGGGCGCCTCAGGGCCGTCCTGGAGACCCTCCTGGGCGTCTTGCGGGGCTCTTGAGGCCCTCTCGGGTCCGCTTTTGGGGGGCCCCTTTGGCCGTCAGGGGGGCCCTCTCGGAGGCCTCTCGGGCGCTCTTGGCCTCTGGGGAACGTCTTGGGCGGTCGGACAGACGAGAGTGAAGAAACGCCGAAATCGTTCAACAACGTGTATCATCCGTGAGGGCTTCGCCTTAACTCGAGCCTCAGATGAGCTAAAGGGCTCTTCGGCACAGCAATCAGAAGGCAATAATCAGGCGCGCTAGTCTAAAGTATCTAGACGCCCGAACTCGGTCTGCTATCAGCACTGGAGCCGAAAAACTATTCGTACTCTCCAAATGTTTTGGAGATGGTGATGGTTTTTGCCGCTGGTCCCCCTCTCTTAGAATGGGGCTTGCCAGAGCTGTGTGGTGATGTCTGGACGCTGACGTGAAGCCATGTCGGGACGCACGCGAGGGCCAATACGAGGGTTCATGGCTTCGGTGGCGCGAGTCTTGTATACTTTGCGAGGGTTTATGGCTTCGGGGACGCGACGATTGTATGATGTACTAGGGTTTGTGGCCTCAGGGACGCAAATACGTGGTAATTTACAAAGGTTTATGACATCGGGAGCGCAAATATTGTGTAACTTACGAGGTTGTGAGGCCTCGGGGACGCGAATCTGATATCATTTGCGAGGGCTTGTTGCCTCGGGGACGCAAGTACGGTGTTATTTACAAAGGTTGATTGCCCTGGGGACGCGAATCGTGTATACGTGTCAAAGGTTTATGGCTTCGAGGGCGCGAATCTCATATCATGTACATGGGCTTATGGTCTCGGGGGCGCGAATATTGTATAATCTGCAAGAGCTTATGGTTTCGGAGACGCGAATGTTGAGTCATGTATGAGGGATTGTGGCCTCGGGGACGCGAACATTGCGTAATGTATAAAGGTGTATGGCCTCGGGGACGCGAATATGGTACAATGTACTCGGGATGATGGCCTCGGGGACGCGAATCTCATGTATTTTTACATGTCCCACGCCCCCCCAGGAATTCAGACAACGCGAGCTGGACGTAAGAAAGCTGGTTTGGGGCTCCCCCCCTCGCGCGTTCACCAACAATTACAGTAAGAAAGCAGAAAGCAGGACTGTAACAATGGGAACTGGAAACTGCAGCTGGAACAGGGAGCTGCAATCCTCATCCTCGCAGCCTGGTGGCCCCGCAAGGGGGCCGGCGGATTCTGGGCGGAGGACCCCGCCATGTGCAAGTGTGAGAATCGCAGGGCAGGTGGGACGAAAGAGGGGGGAGCCCCTTGTGCAGCCACGGGACGTGTGAGGGGCGTGCCGAACTGGGCGGGGGGACGCATGCGGACTGTGCCACGGGGGCCTCGGGTGGAGCTCCCTGTGGGGCCACGCAACGTGTGAGAGTTGTACCGAAATGAGCACGCAGAGGGCAGCAGCAGGACAAGAAGGGGGGAACTCGGAATTCGGATGTCCTCGAAAGTTGCCGTGTTTGGCTTCTGGGGCCGTCTTGGGCTGTCGGGCAGCCGAAGCTCTGAGCAAACGTTCAAGTCCGCCCAAAACGTATGGCAAATCGATGATTTTGACCCCTTCGGGCCTTCTTGGAGGTCCTCTTGGAGGCCTCCTGGGCCGTCTCGGAGGCCGTCTCGGGCGATCTTGGGGCAGTGGTGGGCCACCTTGGGGGCATCTCGGCCTGTCTTGGAGATATGTTTGGGTCGTCTTGAAGGCCATCTTGGCCGTCTCGGAGGCATCTCGGCGGCCATCTTGGGCCATCTTGGCCGTCTTTTGACTTTCTGTTTGTGCACGTTGAGGTTTTTACTCAGCTCTCAGGGTGGCTCGCGGGCTGGGCCGAAGGCACTCGGGAATCTTCCAAAAGAGCAAATACTGACATAGAACTTGGCACGACAGAGGCCCATATGTGACGGACGCGTTTTTTCCTTGTTAACGGACCGTTAACAGGCAAAAGAGTTCCATGTGAACGGACCGTTAACGGACCCTGAACACCGCGGCTCACAAGAGCGAGCAGTGACGTAAACAAGCTGACAAGACCAAGGCTCCCAACAGAGAGCGGTGACGCAACCAGTTCTTGATACCAGGGCCCGAAACGGGCGGCAACGTAAGCTTCGCGTATGCTCCGCGTAGGCTTCGCGTAAGCGCGCAAAGTCCTCGTCAATTTGAGGTACCTACAAGACAGCCCATGAGAGGCCAAGCGTCCTCCAAGACGGTCCAAGATGCCTCCAAGACGACCCAAGAGGCCAGAGGCTCGTAAGATCGCCCCACGATGGCCCAAGATACCCCCAAAACAGCCCCAAGACGTGTTCGAACATCTGCACGTATGCAGACGGTTTCAACGGCCTCCAAGACGGCGTAGAGAGGCCCAGACGGGCCCGAGGACGGCCCAAGAGCGATCCAGATAGCTCACGACGGCCTCAATACGGTTCAAGAGGTCTCCAAGACCCCCCCCGAGCACCGATGGGCGGTCTAAGCGGGAAAAAGCGAAAGTAGGGCTTTCGCCGCCCGGGGGGCGCCCTTGGCCCCGCCCTGCCTGCATAAGCTCCTCGCCAGCTTAAGACACCTCCAAGACGGCGTGAGAGAGGCCCAGACGGGAGCGAAGACGGCCCAAGAGCGATCCAAGATAGCCCAAGATAGCTTCAGCACAGCCCAAGAGGCCTCTAAGACACCCCAAGCGGCACCCGAGAGGACCCCCAAAAGTGCTTAAGGACGGTTAAACCATGTTTGCCTCTAGGTGTATGAAGGTTTTCCAGCTCCTCGCCTATTCCGGCAAGAACGGTCCGATACAGCTCCAGAGCCCCCCGATATTGTACCATGACGGCCCAAGAGGCTCCCGAGACAGCCCGAGGACGGCCCAGAAGGGCCCCATGAGGGCCTAAGAGAGCCACACGACGGCCCAAGGAGGGCCTGGGAGACGCCCAAGATGCTCCCAAGAGACAGTATGTCGTCGTCATCATCAACTGTACTATCCTAATCTTCATCCGTGTTTTATCGCGCTCTAGCGCCTTCCCAAGATGCCCACCAGCCCTGGTTCCCCCTCAAGAGGCCTCCTGCAGCTTCGAGATAGCCCTAGAGGGCGCCCAATATGCCGCCAAGATGCCCCAAGAGAGCCCCCAGACGGGGAGACAGAGAGAACGAACGGGCAAGCCAGCGATATCTCGCGCTCTGAAAGTAAATGCGCTTTCCGTCCCCGTGCCAAGCAGGTAACGTAAAGAGCGAGGTACGAGTGATGACGTTGTGTTTGGGCGAAGCCCTCTAGGGAGGGGTCCAGGGGAGGGGGGAGGAGCGGGGGGATGTGATCTGATGGCCGCTCGGGGCGTCTTCGGAGCGTCTTGGAGGCCTCTTGGGCGCTTCTTGGGCCGTCTTGAGCGCTCAAGACGGTCCAAGAGGGGTCCAAGACGGCTCCAAGACGGTCCAACGTGCCCAAGACGGCCCAAAGACTGCTCAAGAGGCTTCCGAGCCCCGAGGGGCGCCCAAGGGGCGTCCCAAGAGGCCCCCAAAACGGCCCAAGAGGGCCCCAAGACGGCCCAAGAGGCGCCCGAGACGGCCCAAGAGGGCCCCAAGACGGCCCCAAGAGAGAGACCATGAACCGAAAAGTTTAGCCTTTCGCCCCAAGAAGCCCCAGGAGGCCCCAAGAGGCCCCCAAGAAGCCCCCAAGAGGCCACCAAGAGGCCCCAGGAGGCCCAAATCATGGATTTCCTATGGGAAGAGGTACATGTTTAGCATCTACGGCTTTTCGGTTTTCACGCCGTTGACGACGGCCCAAGAGGCCCCCAAGACCGCCCCAAGACGGC